GGGGGGTTGCGGGTGCAACGTGAATTAGCGATTTTTAAAAAAAATTCAGAGAAATTCGCGAAATTAAGTCGTTTGCGTTCTGTCAAATAGGGTGTTTCTGCAATTTAGCACATGGCACTAAACGAAATTGACAAAAACGCGGGAAAAAACAAGGACTGCGAGAATAGAAAAAAGTAACGAAAAAGAAACTATGTTGAAATGTAGGTTAAGAGCGTTTTCATTTTCAAATAAGAATACGGGTTTTTAATTAACTTTGTTATTTGCAATTCGATCCTAACAACGAAAAGGTGTCAGAGAGAAACATTGGCGATTACATACAAGCTTTAAAAAATGCTTTATACATAAACTGTATATATAATGTATATGCTTATTTGTATAATAAAACTAAAACATTATACTTAGTAATGATAGTTAACCGTCTATTGAAGGAAAAAGGTCTTGAGTTGAACCATCGATAGAATAATAAATACTCACAATTGCTTTATTGCAGTGGATAAATTCGACAATATTATTGTAGTGTGGTTACAACAAACAAGGAGTTTTTACAATTCTTTAACAGCACACCGGCATGTGTTATGTAGCGGCCAGTCGCTTTGCCGTTGCACGCAGAAGAATTGTCATCGAGTATCTCGATCATTCTGCTGAGATGTTGTATCCCTTCCAGCCGGGTTTAGCCCAAAGTATCCATTTATCATTGTGAGAACTCATGTCCTTCCTTCACATACCCCACAAGTATACTGTATGTATAATCTTGTTCTTTTACACCATGTTCAGTTTGATAACCGTTTTAACGGCACGTGCAACACAATAAAGTCATATAAGCGCCGATGGTTAGAAGTGTGGCAAGAGAGTAACAAAAACAAGAAAGAAGGAGTGGAAGATAAAGGGGGAGGGGGATAGATGTTTGATAGAGAAGAAGGAGTAAACCACACCAGAGCACCCGCCAACCACTAACTAACAATGTTCAAGCGTTTAGTTTGCTAGATATGTCCATCATACACCAACATTCAATGCTCTAAGTCAGTTATGTCGATGGGTGTGTAAAAACACATTCGTGAATTTGTTGTTTTTGGTTTTTTTCTTCCGTACGTCATGACTTAGGTGGTGAAACCGGAGCAGCCCGTGAACCCCCCAGACGACGAGAACCCCTTGGATGTGACCATCGTCTACATCTCCATCAACATCGACATCATCCTTAAGCAGGTAGAGAAGAGCGAGTACTGCAGCCAGAACATCTTCCTCTTCTGTACCGGCAACACGCCCGTCATCCTGGGGAACGGAAACTACTGGTACGATTTTGATGACGAGGCCCAAACGGAGTGGGAGGAGCTCCCAGCTAACGGCGACAGTGAGTTGGTGACAAAGAGGTTATGTATAATACTAGAGCTCTCAGCACTGACGTCACACGTGGCAGAC